AATATATATATATATATATATACCACAGAGTCGTATGGTGACTTGTGCATGCTTTGTATTTCGTAGACGGGCAAATTCTACGAGCCATGGCAGGATTCGCTGTCGGAAGCGCAGTTTCTATCCGAGTGGTTTTTGCTTCAGAGCCTCAACAACATGTCGTTGCCACCGGCCATGACGCTCGCGGACGTCGTGTCGTTGGGGGTGATTCACAAAGTACTAGCCAAATATTTTACATATTTATGATATATATGCTATATTTTGAATTGTTTCTATTGCTGTTTATGATGTATGATATATTTTGGTCACCAAGTTGTTGTAGTGGTCAGTTTTCCATATATATATATATATATTTGTGTTTTGAACGGTTTGCATACATTGGTAGGTGCACATGGATTTGATCACGAACGAGTTCAACTCGGAGAACTTTGGGTCGACTTTATTGGTGCATTTGGTCGCAAGTATGCAGCAAACGATCCAGCAGGCGTCCCCAGTGTCCGTAAAGTCAGGGAATAAGTCAGGGAATCACCACGACGACGACGACGACCAAGGACCTCATCTGTTGCAAAGCCTGTCCAACAAGTTTTTGTTTTATGCCGGTCACGACATCAACTTGCTGTTTCTGAAAAACCTGTTGCGGTATGATGTATATATATATATATGTATATATTTTGGCTGATATATACTTGACTTTGATAGCTTGGAATGGGAGACAGAAAACTGGTTGTCCAACCAGCCCAACCCCGGTAGCATGCTGGTGTTTGAGCTGCACACCGAGCAGCCCCACAGGTCAGTCCATTCCTAGTACATACTACTAGTATGTCCACCGGCCTACTAGTCGAAGGATTATATATATATATATAGCACCTCCGAAGTGGACTTTTACGTGCAAGCGTACTTTGTCGCGGCGTCGCCATCGCAAATCCGCCACGCCGAAACGCTCAGTCCCCACAATGTATGTAATCTGCTGGCTACTGTATATGATTTGAATATATTCATTTGACTTATATCTCGTGTACACAATAATTATATATATATATTATTTATTCAGATGATGATATCGAACGTATTGCACCTTAGCCACCGGACCGCGTCGAAGTGACAATCCCGCATTGCTCACAAGACGTGGTGCTGCCGAATGGCACTGCGGCCGTTCGCTGCACCTTTACCGACTTTAAGCAGGTACTAGTTGGGACTCTTGTTATTCACCCCACACTCTAAATATATATATATATTATGATATATCGACAGGATATAATACTATGCGATTAGGCGGCGGGTCTGGCCATCCGTCAACAATGTGTGAGCCCCACCCTGGCCAAATATGCGGCGACCCTACTGACCCCTCCGCGCCCGTCGGCGTCATGGACATTTAAGATTGTGGTTGTGACTGTCTTGTCGGTGGCTCTGCTGGGGGTTGTGTGGAAGTACATTGCTCGGTTCAATCAAGCCAAGTCCCCCGAGTACACCAAGTACACGGCATTGACGTAATGTACTCGTTAACTAGTATGGCTAGTATAAACACTGTTAATAGTACGTAGTAACGTCTTGGTTGGTGGCCATAGCTGGTGGAGTTTGTCCCACATGGTTTTTCCCACTCTAGGCCTGACGTTGGAGGATAGTTTCGTCGCTGCATAAGTCGGTAAAGTGCTCGAGGAGGTGGCGGTGGCCCCACCGACTGGCCAAATGCACCGGCGCTACCACAAGAAAAACCCAGTTGTTCGTAGTACGAGCAAGTAGTAGCTAGGATTACTACTAGTTACTACTAGTGCATACTGTTGCCGTTCGAGTCGACCGCCAACAGGTTGCCGCCGTTCGCCAACAAGTACTCGACCTACACATCAAATCACTACGCTACCCTTTGGTCAAGAATAGAATAATGGCATATATATATATATATATATATATACTTCAAAGGATATATATGTATGTACCATGGCAAGGTTGCCTCCAGAGGTGGCGTAGTGCAGCGGGGTCTGGTGCGGATACCCAAACTCGACCGTGTCGGCTGCCACGCCATGAGTCACATAATACTGCACCTACAACAAGAAGTTTCAATCACAATATAGGAACATGAAGATGGACTTCTGACTTCTGTCAAGCGACCATGGAAGGAAGCTGTCCACAAATCTGTGAACGGAATGCTGTTGGCGGCGGCAAGATGATGTCGCGTGATGGGCATGGACTGCGACCATCGAACGCCCTTGGACCGGTGGTCGGCCTCGTCGTCGTACGGGCGGATGGTGGTGCTACTGCAGCGTCAGCATTGTATGTGGTCAGCATGCTTGTGTTACGCACTGGCTGTACGTGCCGTTTTGAACGGCGTCGACGATTTCACTGCGCAGTTGATCCACGGTCGGCGATTTGTGGCTCGCGGTGGCGTTGTACATGGCCAGTCCGTGCGCCTGACGCCGTGGGTTGAGCCACTGGATGCATTGAGACGCCGAGAGCTGCGTGATGGGGGTCTTGTTCGGCTTGCCGTGCTTGTCGTTGCCCGGCAGCGTCAACTTGGACAGGAGGACCATCTCAACTGCCAACTTCCCGTCGTAACTGCATGTGACAGTTTCAAAACGACCTACATTCTCGCATCGCCGCCGTTTCCAGAGATCCTGCCCACTTGTTGGATTCCTTGAGAAGGATGGGCCAAGCACTCACAGCATGCTGTCCTCGGACGCCGTCAAGATCGACCTTGGTATGACAACCATGATGTTTGCTGATGGGGTCTCCTTGACGGCTTGGCCACGTTAGGATGACTTGGACGAGGATAAGCGGCCCATGCTGTACCGACCGCCCCAAACGGCGGCGCCAGTGCTGCCCGTGGAAGCCAGTCGCATGAAATCACCGAACCTGCATACACCCTTCGACAGCACGCGCAAGTCGCTTTCCCCACTGGTCCCGTCACCGCCATCCTTCTTCAAACGCCTCGACTCGTACATCCACGTGAACGCGCTGCGGGCATGGGACGTGTTTGCGGCCATGGACATGAACAACAACAAGCGCATTACGCTGGAGGAGCTCCTCGATGGTCTGCATCAAATCAACTTTCACGTGTCGCCCACAGATCAATCCGACCTCGTGGAATGGATGCATGATGCCGTGGACGCGGACGGCCTGACGTTCAAGGAGTTTGCGCTGGCTTTGAAATTGCGCTCGTCGATGGCGTCGCCCCAACGAGCCAAGCCACCACCATCCAAACAACGGCTTTCGAAGTGCACATAGCCTACCTATATAGTAAGCTGCGCCGTGGGAATCCCAGTATTCGTAATACTATCGAAGTTTCATGTGGTCAGGTCCTTTTTGTGCATTCACGTGTGCTCGGAATATATCAGCACGGGAGCAGTGATGACAAATATATATTTTGTAGCAATTTTCTCGAGTACAAACAATTATTAATATCTATTGTATTGCTTCCTGCATTGAAGTATTTACAGTGACTGTTAATTGTCAAATATTTAAATGAACAAATAAATTTCCATAGTACAAATGATAAGGTAAAATATTGTAGACTCGTTGGTTGAAGTAAAATTAGTTAATTTTGGATCTCGCACAATTAATTATAGTAATCTGTGTCCAGCGCTTTGCACAATAATTATTTTTTATATTTATTTGTCATATACCCTGGTGATAATATTTCCTGTGACAACGACACTGCAGCCAGTCGACACAAATGCTGCAAGTAGAATTGCCCTTTTATCCAAAATGTGGACTTTTGTGAATAATCGCCGCCAAATCGATCCATCGATTGGTTGTACTACTGAAGTTTGTATGTAAAAACGTTGTGATGGGTATCACACTAATTGAAGTCTCACACGAATTCGACGTGGATGACAATTTCCTGCAATCGGATTGGCTAAATATATATTCTTCTTGTGTCGATTCTTCCTATTCATTATCCATATCGCTCCAGTTAGTTGTAACGAATTTAACCGCACAATATATCAAAAGCAGTGTTGAATGTAATGATTAGTGTTACATATTACCCAAACAAACTGTACTCGTGGTCGGGTTTGTGGGCGGCGGGAGATGGTGTCACTTCGCCAAACAAGTCGAACGATGCCTTCTTGAACCGCACGACAATCGGCCTCGACGTGTTGACAATAATGTCTTTGAACGCTTGCGTCGACTTGATGGGGATGCCATTCACCGATAGAATCATGTCGCCTTCGGTGATGCGGCCCGTGGCAAGCGCGGGGCCGGGCTGGCCGTTGGAAAAGTAGCAGCATTCGCGCACCACGACCGTTTGGTAGTCATCTTGCTTGGCCACAATCCCCAATGCATCCGTGGTAAACATCACTTCGTACGTGTCGATTACCCCACCAGTAGTACTAGTAGTACTAGTCGTGGATGAAACCTCTAGAGATGGGGGCAAGTCGTCGCCGACAATTATCATAAACTTGGACCACCACGTTTGCTTGTCTTGCACTGTAAACGTAGCCGAGTACCCTGGATTCGGTTGGAGCCGCGTCGAGCTCTTGGAAATGTACAAATTGAACGCGTTCGACTGGAGTTGGAGGCATATATCTCCCGTGGTCAAGAGCGTCGGCGTGTACCCCCACGCAAACACAATGAGGCCGCGGTCGCTTGTCCAATATGGCGACGACGCCCCGGCCACGTAGTTGCGGCCAGCGGGAAGCAGCCGGAACTCGGCGCCGTCTTTTAGAAATACTTGGAGCACCACCGATTGCCTAGAGTTGTTGACCAGGCCTAGCGCCATGCACGCCCGCGCTTCGAGTCCCGTGTGGTTGCCATCCCAATCGTACACCAAATGGTTGAGCACGCCGGCGAAATCCGTCGGTGACGTGGCCTTGTCGAGCGCATCCGAGTGTTTGGCCACAATCGCATTGTTGGACAGCGATTCGTACCGAAACGACGCCGACGACGCCAGCGATGTGTCGGTTTTGCCGATTAGCGTCGACACGAGCGACGACACGCCGTCCTTGACCACCCCCGTCACTAGCGATGTGACCTGGATGGACTCGATCAAGTTGAGCGCTTGACCCTTGATAGAGCTAACGTAGAACGCGCCCATGGCCTGCAAGACAGACTCTTGTGTGGCAAATGCATTGCGGAGCGTGTACTCGTCCAGGACGATCGACGCATCCTTGATGCGAAACTTGAGATTCGACAGCCAAAACCCCGCCGACGGATCCATCCGGTCGTCCTTTTTATCGCGTACAAACGACAGCACCACGTTGATTGGGTAAATGTGACAGCGTTCGAAAAAACACTTGCGCCCTGTGATCGTGTTGTGCTGCTGCTCGGTCGTTCCGTCGTCGGCAAAGTACGAAAGGAGGTCCACCGAGTACGTGTTGGACGAGGCAAAGTGCCCCAAGACGTGAGCCACCACCGAGTTGATGCGGTCGATAAACTTCATAGACGTCTGCACGCGCACGTCCTTGGTCCACAGCGTCAGCTCTTCAATGTACGCGTACTTGGGGTGCCGCTTCGACATGTATGTAAACTGGACAAAGTCCGCGTCTCGCTTGGCTGGGGTTAGCACGTTGGGGTACTTTGTCCCCACGAGCAAGTCTTTGAGAGTGATGGATGCCACGACCAGATGCGCCTATATCCAGCCATGTTTGTATGTGAGCATGGACCAGTGTATTATAGTAGTACAGATGGAGATGTCGTCTTGTTGAGTGTTTATTCTAAACTCGAGAATGCAACCAAATAAACTGACGAATCAGCAAGAGTCGTATATATATTGAGCCAATCAAATGACACCATCATATTACGGCGTGAAGGTGATTGGATCCAATCATGCCCCCCCACAAAGCAACATATTGTCGAGTTGATACAAATTTGAGTTTCGAATCGCGCCGACCAAACCGATCCACAATCGATTTGATTGGTTGTTGAATATCATTGAGAAGGTTTTGATTGGTTAATAATTTTGAGCTCATCTGAAGTAGCCAATCAAATCGATTTCAATTCCAACGAGAAACCACGCCACAACATGAAATTTCACTCGAAAGCACAATAACGTTTTTCCAATCAAACAACGCCATCGATTGATTGGGCGATATATAAAAAGGCCAATATTTTGTAAATATAAACGGTAAAATACCCCAATCGAGTACTACTTCTGTACGTACGTTGGTCGAGAGGCGATCTTTGAACGAGTCGAAGCGGATGTCGGAAATGCGGAATCGCGCCACGTCCTCCGACATGACGCCGGTGCCGCCAAATAACTCGAACGCGGGGGACGTCGCTTTCGTCGAGTCGGACAGCGTCAGATCCAACCCAGCCACCTATAGTAAGTACTAAATATATATATATACTCTAGATGCAACAAGTCGTGATATTCCGTACGTTGATGTCGTAGCTGATTATGTCCCACTTGGACTGCTCCACGTCGGGTTCCGAGTCCAAGCGCACAATGTCCACGACAAAAGTTGCTTGCGATAGCCCGCCCGTCTTGACACTGACCTACCACCATATATATATATATGCGTTGATTCGACAACGATACTGGTTTCCTACACTGAAATATATATATTCTATTCTGATATCTTCAATATATTAACAACATATCTTTAACAACATACAGAATATTCCGCTACCGTTATATCAAATAAATATAACTTGACGCTTCGTAATAAAAAATTTAAAATTATTAAAGTTATAAAAAATTCAGGAATTAATATTTCAAAATTATTATAAAAAAATTCTTGTAAAACCATTATTTATTTATAAATATCTATGATATACTTATTATAGATATTTCTACATAAAATAATAATTATTTTATATATATATAGCAAAAAAATGCGAGAATGGAGAATTAAACAACCGCCAAGCCAATCAAATCACGTTCTGGTCATTTTAAGCCAATCCAAACGTTTGACTCGGCCCAGTCCCTCCGCATTATTTGGCAAAAATTATATATACTACTGTAATCCTGGTATCGTATAGTTTGTACAAGCTGAAATAATTGGATCGAATCAACGGATTCGACTGTTATTTTTTTCGCCACATGACTCACACATTTGGGTGCAATGCACAATATATATATATATATATATA